CTCATTCCAGGACAGGTGGATTCCAGAACTCTTTAATACGATGTGTTTTATGATTATGAAGAAAATAAACCAAGCTAAAACATCATTGTATTTTTCCAGGCCATGAACTATTCAAACCCCATCTATTCAAAGATGACATACCATGACGGGCAGCACTGTCGAAAACCAGTCATCAACCTCGACATGAGACGCGATTTACTCCCAAAGAGACTGGAAACGACAATTCGAGAAACGGCAGCGTAACCTAGTTTTTCCACAACCTGCTTTGTTTTGTTTTTTTCGTTTTTTTGTTTTTTATAAAGATCTGTATAAAATGTATTTAAAAAAAAAACTTTTTATGTCCAGTCAGGTTAAATCATCTCACTTTGCGTCCCACATATATGTGCTGGTTTTCGTTTGAACAGTTTCTTTCTGTTGCAACCAAAATGTCCTTTTATAAATGACAAATGCAGTGTTTTTCTTTGCTTTGTGACTTTGTAAATGCACTACACGAATATGAAAAAAAATGAAACGGACAAAGCTGCTCAATCTCAAAAGGCTTTATATACATTTAAAGAGAATTTTATATAGGTTTATTTACCTACACACTATGTATATGTTTTCCTGTTGGTGAAACGATTGCCAATGCCTAGATATTCCCAAGTTGCCTCTTACATTTAGCAGTATTAGAAAAAAAGAGACACTTATTTAATAAATGCATCTGCTCATCACAGATTTTATTTTTGATATCTCTCATTAATGTTTCTTGCATATGTTTATCTTTAAGTTGACCGGTGTTTCCAGGCGCTTCAAATATGCAGTCGAATCCGAAAGTGAAACCAACCCACGATGGTTTTTGCAACTGTACAACTTGAAAACATGTTATTTAATTTTCATATCGCAAATGTCTTTAAGCACTTAAAAGGACTGAAAATGGATTTTGTCACATTATAGACTCACTTTCACTCGCTGGTTGTGAAATTACACGTGCGGGACTCTTGTAATGCCCTGTTTGAAGAAAAAAACACATTCTCTGTGCAAATGTACACAAAAGGAGAAGTTTTATAATTTTATAGTTGATTTGTACGTCCGGTTTGCTTGTATTTTCTGGAAATGTATTAAATGTAGAACTTTTATACAAAACTATGTACACAGTATATTGGTCCGTCTTCACTTTGGGTTGAAGTGTTTTATAAGTATAAAATAAACTAGCTTGATATTGCACTGTGCAATCGTACAGGTTGCTGTTGTGTAAGGGGAAATGAAGGACATTTATTGGTTTAATACATATAGCTACACCTAATGTGATTTTGGACCAAGAACTATTAAATAAAATGGGTTTTCTTGCCATTTTCAATGCATTTAGTTGTTATTGCAATGTGTTGCGTAACTTATTTGCACATGGCTTATTTATGTTGTGTGTAGAATTCTTTTTATTTGCATCCTTGTTTAACAGGTCCACTATCATTTCCATTTCAGGAGAAACGGAGGACATTTCCTTACAACAGAAGGTAAGAGACGTACAAATAGCCTCATCAAATTAACCGCTTTTACACTGGTGAAGATGCCGTTGCCAGAACAATTTGCAAACGACCTGGAAAAACAGCTCAGAAAAACAGGATTTGGCACATTGCCGTTTACCGTTATATTAATCGGACTGGAACTGTTAATGGATCGGGAAATTTAGTACCTGTGTACACCAGGCCTTATCACAATACTGATCAGCTTCATCTTTCTTGGACCTGCTCTTCTGGCACTGACTGTGATGTTGTTCAATATAAGTCTTATCGGTTATCAGTGATATGTATATGTTATGTGTGACAAAGTGTTGATCTAAATAACTGCTAAAATGATTATTTTAACAAAATAATATGACACAGAATCAGCCAAACATCTGGCCTCGTCTTCTGTCATGGCTGATTCGAGAGAAAAAAAGAAAGAAAAAAAAGCACCAACACTTGCACGTATGCGTGCATTTTTTACTTAACACGTAACATGTCTGCTGCCAAATGTTCCATGAAGTAAAAAGAAGTGGGGTGAAAAGAGTGTCTGGTTACCCATTTTACAAATGGAAAGAACACATGCACACATATATAGAGCTCTGTGCAGCAGATTTTGGTAGTTGCAAACATCAAAGTGAATTCGAACTTGTTGCAGGTAGGCCGTTATTTATGATTTTATGGCATGATTCAGGAAAAGGCAAATATTCAGCAAGTCGATTTTGTCCTTATTTATACACCACAGCTATTGGCTTGACTTTGAAATGATTGTAATGTATTTTTATGCTCTCTGAAGTAGTCAAGTTAGCATGAGGGTGGTGAGAAAATACTTCAATTATATTATATCATAATACTTAAAGATAATGTCAAGGTAACTTTATAATAACTTTCATTCATAAATCATTAACAAACATTATGTAATGCTTAATGGATCAATGGTTCATATATATTCACATATCTAGAAACATGAACTAATGTGTTTGTAAGTGTTTACTAATAAATGTATTAAACATTACCTAATAATTAACATTTCAAGTAAATTAAAATGCTTACAAATGCCATTAAACTTCTAATTCATATGATCATGCACATCTTGAATGATTTTAACAGATGATATACAATGATTAAAATCTTTTGTTAATACACAACACCTTTGCTGCAGTTGAGGTGTGATACGGGTAGGGTTAGAGACAGGTTTGGTGGTATGGGTAGGTTTAAGGTTGGGTCAGGGGTCAATTTGATTGAATCGTTTTGCCTGATAGTAATCTGTTTATATTGCGTTGTTTTGATAAATGATAAATTAAGTATTTTCTTGAAGATTTCTCCCCCCCTCCGGTTGATGTATGACTCAAGGAATATTCTGTTTAATGATACACATTAGTATACTAACATAAGTGTTGAGATGATAAAAACATGTTTTGCACCCAAATTACAATGTGTGATATGTATTTACCAAGCATTTAGCTAAACTTAACTAACCACCCTTTACACAAACATTGTTAAAGTAGCTAAAAGTCCAATGCCAACCAGTAAAATTTTGAAATATTTTTACTAAAAGTCCAGTGCCAATAAATATACTAAAAAAATTGTAAATGTATATAAACATTCACAAATGATGAATAGTCTCCACTTTAGATTGGGTACTGCAAAAACATGAATAAATGATTAATAAATGATCTGTAAAATTGTGAAAATAGGGTGAATTCCGGTCATTTTTGAAAATTTTTGCCATCAAAATGACTGCTCATAAATGTACTAATGATTAGTAAATGTTTATAAACATTTACAATTGATGAATAGTTTCCACTTTAGATTGGGTACTGCAAAAACATTAACAAATAATTAATAAATGATTTAAGATGTGCAAATAGTAGAAGTCTA